GAGGGACCTGCCCGGCGGCTCCTAGCGGCGCCGGCGTCGGGGCCCGCGGGCCGGCGGCTGCTGTCTCCCGCGCTCCCCCTCGCGGAGGCCTGCGCGTCCGTGACCTTCGGGAGGAGCGGGTCGAGCCCGGCCTCTGGGTCTGTCCCTGGCACCCGCCTCCATGTCCCTCACAACTCGGCCTCGAGCCGGCGTCCGTGGCTTTTTTGTTCCTCCCGAAGCACGCGGGAGACCCGCGTGGCCGCCCTCGCCCGCCACGCTGCGCGCTGTGGGAGCCCAGGGACGGCTGGCGGTCCCCCGCGTGCAACGACGGCCGAGGCGCCCCTGCCGAGCCCCCCTGGCTCGCGTGTGGCCGAGGGGGGCATCCAGTCCGGAGCCAGGAAGGGGGGCAGCCGGGCGCTGGGGTCTGTTTTCAGCCTTCCCCTCCCCGCGCCCCCCCCCCCAGCTCCCTCTCGGCGCATCTGCCTCGCGCCGCCCGCCCTGTGATCAATAAAGCCCAGACAGACAGACTGTTGATCAGTAGGAGCCGGTAAGTTCTCCTGGGTAGACTGGGGACGAGTAGCCGGCTAGAGACACTTAACGAAAATTAGCAAATCCAAAAGCACCCGGCGCCAGCGAGACGACACAGGCCGAGACTGACACTCAATTAACCACCCCCCAAACAATCGCAGGCAAACACACCGGCGGACCCTGATCAATATCAGCCCCGCAGTGATCTCCCTGAGATGCTAATTCATTTATTAGGACTGGAGGGGCCTGCCGGCCCCAACGCACCCAAAGGCGGTCCTGGAGGTTTTGCTGTTGTTTTTCATTTTTTCGGAGGGGAAATTCAGCTTAAAACTCTTATCTGAGGGAATGCTCTTTTATCCCCTCCCCCCAAAACCTGAGACTAACAAAAGTCAACCATTTGCAAAATTTCCTTTTAAGATCAGCCAACATTTGCCTACCCGATAAAATGTCAAGAGAGAGGGGGAAAAAAAGAAAAGAAAAGTGCTTTTAACGCTACGATGGGAGATGTAAAGTCAACCCTTTAGGACTAAAGTGCAGAGTGAGTTTCAAGACTAAGAAAAAAACATATATGTCTAGAGACTGAAAATC